GTAGCCAAGCAAAAGCTTACAAGCTATCTATCCATACACTAGGAAATCTCATCGTCCCGCGTACCGCCTCCCGCATCCGCAACCACAAGCCAACCGCCAACCGTCACCCGAATCGGCACATCATCGCCGTCTTCCAACTCGTCGAGCAAACGGCGGCGGTACCAGATCAAAGACCCGACCCCCCCTCACCTCAGCTACAACCCGGCGGTTACTTGCAGTTTCGGTGGATGTTTGTCTGTGGTGTCACACCTTGTACAGACGCCCGTTTGGCTACTCAGTAGTAGCACTGTGTCCGCTGCTCGGCCTTTCTTCCCGTCCTGACTGGAACCAACCCGCACACCCCCTCAATTCCTCGCCCTTGTTGCGTCGCCGTCGTGCTTCCGTGGTTCCGCTCACAACGCTCTCGCTTCTTCCAGAGTGTGTCGTGGGTATTTAGTCCTGCTGCTTGCGATCGACCCGAGGTCTGGCACTTCCAGCATCGGCTCTCTCTTCCCGTGCCTGCATCGCTGCTTGCCGAAGCAGTCTCTCTGGCCGTGGCCAGCCAGGGCGTTGCCTTTCCTGCGCCCAATACTCCAGCAATAGGGGTCCCCTTGCGAGGACCAAACAACCGCCAAAATTACCAAGGTGGACATCAACTCGCTCCTCACGAATTCTGACCACCCCTCGGACTACGACACACCTCAGTCATATCCGGAAAACCGCCCGATTGGCCAGCCCCGAACGGATCAACCGTATCAACACAGATTCATAAACACGACGCCGGAGTCGCCCCGCTATCATCAGCCAGGTCGCTCCCCAGAGGTTCGAGAGCTAAAGCCCCTTAGCCCCCGCCCCTCTGCGGCCGGGGGAGGACATCCCGTCCAGGCTCGGACGCAAAACGGGGTCGTTCCCGTGCCCGAAGAACCACACAGGAGCATTGTTTACCTTGCCGCTGCTGCCACGGCTGCTCTTAATGATAGTCGTACTCATCAACACGTTCGGATCGCCCCCGCAACCCCTGCTCTATCATACGCAACAGCCAATGACGATGTGCACCCGTCTCCGGTAACACCTGCCATGACTGCGGGAAGCCCGGACGGCCCGGCTGGGCCTTCTGAGGGAGCAGACATTGGAAGCGTTGGCGCAGGTGCAGCCGGAGGAGCTGGCCCTCGTGGAGGAGTCAAGAAGAGCAGGGCCAAGTCACACCCGCCTCAGAGAGCAGCAATTGCGTGTGCAAATTGTCGCAGGTCGAAAATTAAATGTTTCAATAACAACGACGGACAATCGCCTTGTACACACTGTCTTCACAATGGCAGAAGTTGCACCTATCCCGAGGTCACACCAACAGCAATCAAGCGTTCTGCAGAACCAATCCTGCTTAAGACTGAACCGCACGAGCGGAAGCGTCCACGGAGAGTGGAGGACATTGCCAAAACAGAAGGCGTCTTATCACATTCTGTCATTGCCGAAGATGTTCTCTCGGTGTCATACCTCGACCAAGCGCTGTGGGATCAGCTGTTTGATCTATACAGGCTTCATTTTTCAACTGAACTGCCGTTCTTGCACCTGGCTACTCTGAAGCAAGATTTTAGCAAGAGAGTTAGGGGCAAGCAGCCCGAGACGAACCCCGACAGAAACCTGGTGCTTTTGGGAATTCTCGCGCTCACGGCGCGGTTCAGCCCAAAGTTGGTTGCTTATGCAACAGCTCCCCGCAAGCCGTCGTCTGCCTCGACGGTTGCCGCTCCTACCGCTGAGGACGCGGCCACGGCATCGGAATATTATGCGAATGTCTTGACAAAAGCCCTCGGCGGCTTGAAGGAGGCCATGACAATTGCTTCGGTGGAGCGAGTCCAAGCTTTCTTGATGCTGGGACTTTATGAATGGAGCCAAGTCAGCCCCAGAGTTGGCGGTATGGCCGCGTGGATGTACATTGGCAACGCCATCCGCATGGCCATGGCACTTGGACTCAACAACGGGGACAGGGACACCCATAAGCTCTTCCGGCCAAGAGCGGCCGCAACCCCGCCGCCCACATCATCGGCGGCCCAATCCCAGATTGTCACCGCAAAGGAGGTTCGAAGACGAACCATGTTTAGCTGTTTCATCTTGGATCGGCTGCTGGGCTGCGGGAAGGACCGAGTCCTGACGATTCGGTCCGATGAACTGCGGATAAAGCTTCCTTGCGACGAGAGGGATTTTGATCGCTCCAACGAGAGCTTTACCGGCTGGTTGAATGTCTCGATGAGCAGCAGCGACGACCGTCCCGCCAGTCCTAGCCTCCTTGGGTGTTTTATTCGCCTCGTTGATTTATGGGGCGATATCTCCAAGTGGAGTTTTTCAGGTGGTCGGTTCGCCGAGGGGTACAACCCTCCTTGGGAGGAAAAGACCTCATTTTACCATCTCAGACAGCGTCTTGAGCAGTTCTTTTCAGATCTGCCAGAATACTTTGACTGGTCGTCGGAAAACTTTTACCGAAATGAGAACCCGCAGGATATGAGCGTCTACGTATCTCTTCACGTGGTGGGCGCCCTCTGCAAAATGATGCTCTTTAGGGAGTACATTCCCTTCATCCCCTTGCGTTGCGACAAACCAATGGGACCGCTCGACGCTCCCACGTTTGTCGAACCACCCCGGAGGCCTGAGTTTTGGGAGGAAATGGCCGACGAGGTTTTTCGTGCTGCGAGAGTCATTGCCGATTTGGTCGAGCTCTCCCAGGCCAAACTGCCAATGTCGTCGTTGGTTTGTTTTGCCGTCTGGACGGCCGCGTACGTGGGTATCTATGCCATCAAGTTCCCGCATATGGACGTCGGGAGACGAATGATCCCGCCAGACTGGGAGAAAAAGGAAGATTTACCCGCCGCTCGTGAAACTGAAAGTGGACCAACCGGAATATTGTTCAAGACCCTGGGACAGATGTCCGGTCCTTTGAAGATGGCCAAAACATATGTGAGGCACTTTAGGGACTTTGACGAGTACTACGACAAGATCAAAACAGACTATCAGATACATGCGATGAAAAAGTCTGCCGATCAGAACCAGCTGAGTCTGCGTATGGGAGGCGGTGGTGGCGGTCTTGAGGAGTGGAGAGAACAAGGTTTGAAGGTGGTGAATAATGGGGAGATTTTGGCTGTTGAATCCGACGACAAACACAGCTCGAGAGGAAGCACTATAGAGCCTGGGTCGCAGCAGAACTCGGAGCATTACAGCAGTTATCCTCGGCAGTATGCCCCGAAGCCGCCGTCGTCGTTTACGCCTATCAATCTCGGCCAGCACTCAACGTCTTCCCCGTCGGCGGCTGAAAATGATATCAATTCTAGGGCTTTGAAGACAGAGAGTCTGCATTCACCAGTTTATCCACATGAACGGCAGCTACCGCCGAATCAGGGCCTGCCACCACCACCGCCGCCCCCACCTTATCATGGGGGCAATTCAATCAACAGTCCACAAATTACCAATGAGATGTCGTGGGATATTTCGTTGGATATGATTGGCAACAGTTTCATGTCTGTTTATATGCAGCAGACGCGGGATGGGGTCAGTGATGATTTCTTGATTCGCCATATTGATACATATCAGTCGCAGCCGTGGATTGATGCTCCCGGTGGGAACTGTTTTGCGTATGGAGAGGAGTTTTATCACCCATCGGTTAATGCTGCTTCTTCTTCTATGGCTGGACCTGAGGGAGTCAATGGTGGTGGTGGTGGTGGTATGTATTATAATAGCCATGGTGGTGGTCCAGGAGGGGAAGGAGGTGCTTATCATCATCATCATCTTGGAGTTCAAGCTGGGTAAAAAGAGGGTTGGTGGTTGTGTGCGGGTTTTACTACTGATAACGGAATAGGTTTGACGAGAGTTTGTGAAATGTGTGCGTTTTTCATGGTTGTGAGTGGGTAAAAATATGTGTTTTCTTTTCCCTTTTTTATTTCAAAGCATGGTGGACTTTTGCCGAATTTGCTTTTGTTTTCGCTGAGAAGGAGTAGGAGAAGGAGGAGGTGAAAAAAGCATAACTTGATGGTTTTATGGGTACGGATTATTTCCTTTTTTTTTTTTTTGTTATGGAAATGAGTATGTGATGAATGTGCCCCTTTATCTAGATGGTTCAGTTGGGTTGGGTTGGGTTGCTTCGCTGGGGTAAAGATATATATCTATATCAGTCGCTGAATTGTCTTTTTCGTTTCCTTCTTGTTAGTTATTAACATTTGAGTGTCTTTTTTCTCTTTTGTTGGTTTGATGATGTTTTTTTTTCTGTATGGGACAATTTACAAAAAAGCGCAAATCATTTCAATTTAGCAAACGGGTTGGTGGCAGGTTTTTTGTCTTTTTTAAAGCAGTAATACGATTGCTAGTTTCTTATAGGACAGCGAAACTTTTATGATTGATGTTTTGCGTTTCTTGAGATGATAACTTATTCACATGATCAAATTCTCTATCAGGATATTCCGCAAATTTTAAGCAGAACTCTAGTCAATGTGAGGGCGAGGGATCAGTATGAAACTCTTTTTTTCCCCTCCGCTTGAGCAAACTATGCATCATCGGCCCCACACCACAACCAGAACCTTCACAATATACCTCAACCCTACCACCTCTCCACAACCACAACACATGCAAAATAAAGGCCACAAAACTCACACAACTCTTCATCAAACAAAAACAAGGTCCGCTGGCGTAATGGCAGCGCGTCTGACTACGAATCAGGAGGTTCCAGGTTCGACCCCTGGGCGGATCGAGTAATATCATCTTCAGATCAAGGTATTTCTTTTTCTATCTTTTATTTCAACTTTTTTTTTTTTTTTTTTTTTTTCATCCTTCTTTTCCCCTTTCGTGGCTGGTAATCCATATTGGTACTTTAAAAGACTGACTCAAGTTATGTGCTTGTTTTTCTCCCCCTCTCACTTTCAACACTTTTATTTTCTCTTCAAATCTTTGTTTTGCGTTTTTGTCAGAGCAGATGGAAAACCACGAAACTAGCGTTGTTGTCAAAAGGAGACATATGATTGACTTGTTCCAGCACACATCACAACGGTCGGGTGGCGCAATGGTAGCGTGTGGTCCTCCTAAAAAGAGAGATTACCAAAGACTGAGGTTGTGGGTTCGAGTCCCATCCCGATCGGGTTTAATTACTTTTTGGCTTCTTATTGTGATAAAGTTTCTATTATCTCATGACAAAGAACATTTCTTTAATGAAGGCTTTTTTTTTAATCTCCAAACTGTTTTTGGTATCAAGAATGTTTTTCTATTGTCATGTTTGATGGTGGTCAATGTATATACGGTTTGTGGAATGTTGATGATTGGGATTTCAGCGTAGAGAACGGAGGAATAATCATCATGGGCCATGGCCAAGGTCAACTACTTATACAAGTTAATTAATCTAATTTAAAAGAACAAAAAGAAGAAGTGTGTGTCTTGATGAGGAAAGGTGGCGTTGGAGAAAATACAGAGCGAAGAATTGGAGGATCAGACCAACCAGGCTCGTATAAGCCAGGTTGTGGAAGAGTTCTCAACAGCTCAAGAGCAATAGATCTTGGATGCCGAAAATGGTTACAATTTGCGAAAGGCTGTAAGAGCAAAAGAATCTTAGTACAGTGAACAGGCTTAATGGGATTTAATAAAGTGTAAAAGCTGAATGAATCCCTTTTTATTTGCCCCCCTTATATACAAACCCTCGTCGCTCTATTTTTGCTCTAAAGGTTCCATGTCTAAAATAATTGACTCTTGAAGAAAGGATCTTGGTTGTTTGTGTAAACACGGTCGCGACGTCATTGATACCATCCTCGGCTACCATTTGGTTCAACCAAAAAACCAACATTATCAACAATCTCAAAAATCTAAATCGGTCGTGGCCACAAGCCACAAAGGATACCGAGTTAACAGGGCATAAAATTTTTCCCACGTTCTTAGGTACGAAAAGTTGAAGAAAACGATATATTCTATAATGAAAACAAAAACCTCCAACAAGCCGATTTCACTTCCTGGCAAACAACTTCTTTTTTCACTCAGCTTTAGGTGACTCTATATCGACCAAACAGTCAACAACCATGATAGAGAATAAAAAGAGACTCATCATCCACAACCCTCTCCTTCCTCCTCCTCCAAGATCATTTTCATCCATCCTCCCACAATCCCACGATGATCAATTTCCACATCAACAACGACTCTTTACCCATCTGAACGAAAACCGCCCATTCCGTATAACCAAAAACTACTCCCAACAGCAACACCCTCAACAGCAACGCCTTCAACAACAACGCCCTCAACAACATTTTCTACGAGATCTCCGACGACCAACCACTTCAAGACCCAAAATCCGCCCCATCATCAATCCCTCAGCGCAGCAAGAACAATACCGACCAAAAATGTCACTCCCAAAAACCTCCTTCCCACGACACTTGATCCCCACCCGAAATCTACGAATCAGGCAAAGCAAAATAAAAGAGAGAATATATCTCTGGCTGTGGGTGACCAGGTTGGTCTGGCCGCGATCCAGGTTTTCGAGAAAGTATAAGAGTATTAAAGAAGGCAAGAGGAAGATGAAGTGAAGTTATCGTTAATTTTCGGTGCCGGTGGACGGAGTCCAGGACCGTGTGTAAACAAGAGACGAGGTGGTTAAGTCGAGAACATATTAGTGTGTCAATGATAATGATATGGAATTCTTGGGCTTGTGTTGGCTGTCGTGAAATACTAGTTTTGGGAAAATGCGATATTGACCTTGGTATTCTTGTATTTACTCTTCGGTCTCTCTAATTCCCCGAATTAGCTATGCATCTCAACTAAACGAAAAAAATGTCGAGAGAACTTCTTACCAACCCCAAACCTTTCTACTCTCCTCTCATCGAAACCCATCCCACACACACAAAACAAAAAAGAAACCCCACCATCTAACTCTCAACCTCTTCTTTCTTCCCCTCCGAAGAAGGATCCACGAACCTCCGAAACCTCTTTACCGAATATACCCACCTGATCTTGCCGTCCTCCTTCTTTCCCCCCTCCGAAGAAGGAGGAACAAACCTCCTAAACTCCCTTCTCGAATGTACCCACCTAATCTTGCCGTCCTCCTTCTTTTCCCCCTCCGAAGAAGGATCAATAAACCTCCCAAACCTCTTCAAAGAATCTACCCTCCTAATCTTATACCCCTTCTTTTCCCCTTTCTCCCCCCCTCCCTCACCATCCAAAACCTTCATCTCCAAACTCTTCAACCTCCTAGTAAAATTCTCCATCTTATCCTCAAATTTCTTGACTTTACTCATCTCCCATCCAACACAAACACCAACCGCAAACCCCCCATCATGACTAATACTAACCAACCCAAGCTGTTGTTTCTCCTCTTCCCCTTTTCCTCCTTCCCCATTCCTAACCAAAACCATCGGAGCCTCACTTCCATTCCCTCTATCTACTCCTCCCCCGTCCCCTCCTTCCCCATCACCACCACCTACAACTTCAACATCCCTCAACCCCAACCTCAACCAAGGATGAGCCTTCACAGCAGCTTCCTTAGCAGCCCATCTCCCCGCCAAAAACTCACTAAGCCTCTTCAAAGCCTTTTCATCTTCCTCTTTACCTCCTTCTATTTGCCTCAACACAGAATCAAACCATTCCCTTTTCTCTTTTGCTTCAGAAATTTCTTTTTCCGTCAAAACCCTGGCAACAAATCTGGTAGCGTTTGGTCCCCTCAGAATTTTATAAATGCGATTTGTTGAACAAATGTCTGTTCCGATTTTTATTGGAGACAAAAAAACTGGTAGTGGGGGCAGTTGTTGTGATGATGAAGAACAAGAAAAAAATCTTTTGCCAATTGTCAAAGCCGATGATTTCAAGGCTGGTAATATCCTAGTTCGTATCATATTTGCTGTGAAATATTTTTTGTTGATTGGCTTCGGTTGTTGAATGTGTTGTGTAAAAAACGGCTTTGAAGATTAAAAAACAGAAAATGATAATTGCTCAATTGGGTTTTGGTGGAATGAGAGGGGTCCTGCAGGGGTTTCGGCAGTGTCCGGGGGTTCCCTTGTCAAAATATTGGACGCTAAAGTCGCTGATAAGAGCTTAAGACGTCATAAGAATTCACGATAAGGAAGCAGAGGACGACCTCAACTTCAGCAAAACACCGTGAATTGACAAAAATTGACTATTGGATGCTTCATTACAGACTCAAGAGCAAAACTGAAATCAAGTTACTGAGCGAAAACTTTTCCCACCGCATTACCCTTCCTCCAATCCATATCAATCTGATTCCGTCGACACTTTTTCTTCTCCCCTACTTCTCTCCAGTCCACACCCATCCCCTTCGATTTACTCTCCCAACAGAGGTGCCCTCTCAGTATCGGCCGGCTCGGTGGTGCGCGAGGCACGACCACCCCAAGCAACCTCTCTACCAGTCCAAGCCGGTACGGCAACCAACAAGGTAAAGACAAACAACAGACTCATGATGGTGAAAGCAAAGATCCACTGAAAGGCAACGATCTGCCTAAAGAACTGAGCAACACCAAGAGAAGCAGTCAGCACGCTGAGAGCAAATCCCACGGTATAATCCTTGTAAACGACAATAAAGAAGCCTCCGTAAACCAACACGCTCCACACAACAACATTGGCCAAGATTCTCGCAAACAGACTGTGCTGGTGAGGAATCATGATAGCTCCATTCCAGTAAATGGCCACAAACGTCCAGCAGAGCGGACCAGAGATGGCCGGGGCATGGATGAAGCGGCCATATGTGTTGTAGCGGAAGTATAGAGAAGTAAGGTTGGCAAAGTTGATGAGGAGAATAATCTCGGACCAGACAAAGTGGGTGTTGACAAAGAGGAGAACCCAAATTGTGTGAAGGACGTTGTTGACGATAAAGTGACTTCCAACTGAGGCGGCGGCGGATGCGACGGAGCTGTCCGAGGAGAAGAGGTGGGAAATGTAGACCAATTGAAGAATAAAGAGGATTACAAAGTAAATGGAAGTGATGATGGCATTTTGGGTAAAGGCAGAGTAGAAGAGATAATTCTGATGCCAAATGTTGTGGGTCTTGTCATCGGTGGTGGAGTAGTAGACTGATGTGACGACGGAAAGGACCCAAGTGAGGAGGGTCAAGATCTTGTACGTCGTGATGGAGGTCGACGAGTGGGTTTCGCGTTTGGCGAAGGGGTTGATCTGCTGGAGACGATCCATTGTTGTTATAAGCTGTGAGGTGAGGAATGAATTTTAAAGAAGAAAAGGCCAAGATGGAGGAAAACCTTGGGAAGAGAAATCTTTTTGTAGTGGTAAAGGGAATGATCAAGGAAAAGGTTGGCCACTCCGGTCGTCTGCTGCTTGCGTTGCTTGTTTCCCGGATATGCGGGGGAATGATGTACAATGCAGGTGCGGCATGTTTGTGGCACTTGCCGTTCGTGTTGAAGGTTGGATTAAAAGAAAAGGCACAACAGATGATTTTGGTGTTCATAACTTGCTGCATTTGTTGAGGTTGTCCTCAGAGAGACGACTTATTGCCAGTATCCAGTATTCAGTGGAAGTGACCGGACGAAAGCTTCTCTTCTCCTTTCACTTTTCACAATTTTATCTCTTCCTTCCAATAATAAAAGTAGGAGCACCTGCATCTGTCAACCTGAAACTCTGGATGAAGTCGTGAACCTTGAACGCAGGACAAGTGGGATCGGACGATTTCAATGAGCTGATTGGCTGTGGCCGTTATTCAATTACATCATACCTTCCCCGCCGTTCGTCTGAAGATCTCCACTCTTCCCGAAGGTTGTGAACCTCTATGACCAGCACGACACGATCACGGTGATTCCTGAGGCACTCAGGATGAAAAACTTTTTCCTTTTTCTTTTTTTTTTTTTTTTTTTTCAATCAAAGTGGGTTGACCCAAATTCCATGCATTTTGTTGTTCTTGTTGTGCTTGTCAACTCGAAAGTCCACTTCCTTCCTGCGTGGTGCGGAGCAGGCCAGGTCTAGACCCGACCGGTTACATGCAATTGCCAGTGCATGACGGGATGAAAGGTGGGTGTGGAAAGAGTGAAGCTCAACAAACTCCGGACATGAGCAAATACCAATCTCCGAGTTGGGGGAAACTTTGGTCACGCAACGTCAACAGGTCAACACCCACAACAACACATGTTTCGACGCGCACAACAT